CTAATCTAGAAAAGTAGTCAGTTGGGGCTTATTAAGGCATTTTGCCTTTTTATAGTTGTAATAATATCTAAAGTAATGTTTATAATAGATCTTCTTTTTACAAAATCTTGTTAATACATTTTAATTAAATTTTTTGCAAATTATATTTAATCAATTAGCCAAAATTTTTAAAAAGATTTTGGCATTACAGTTGGCCAAAGCTATAGGCCTTTAGTTATTTAAATTATCTAGAACTTTTAATTTTTTTGAAATTAAAATAATAAGACACTTATATTATACAAAACCTATATATAAAGTATTGTTAAATAATTTATATAATAAAATAATTTCTTCTTATAAAACTTATAGAATCTATAGATTAATTTATTTAAACTAAAAGACTTGTGATTGAGTAACTGATTAATTGTATTTATGATCTCTTCTGTGATGATCTTTTTTATAAGATTTTAATTCTGTTTTCTGGATACCTTAAAAAGATTTTTAGTAAATAAATCTACAGTTTCTATTTTGATATTTTTTTTTAAAAAAATAAACTTATATTAGAATTTAATATAATTTAGAATATCTGTAAAGTTATTAATAATAATATCTAGTAGTTTTTAATTTTTGTAGTTACTAATTTGTCTAATCTTTCTTTACAATTATCAAAAAAATATTTTGTAAACCTTTTATTATTTTATAGCTATTTTGCTTTTAATCTAATTTGCTATTTAACTGATAAATTCATTAAGCTTCTTGTAATTTACTATTTAAATAAGCTGTTACAATACTAAGTCTAAGAGATTAGAGTTTAGTATTATTAAACTATTGATTTTAATTATCTTTTTGGTTATTTTTTGTATACAAGATTCCAGTTTAAAAAAGGTTTATATGCATATAATGGATTAAATATGCAATTTATATAAGTTTCAATTAAAGATTTATCAATATTTTTTAATTCTTTATTTAACTCTTTTCTGATTTTAAAAATTTGTAAAGTTCTTGAATTTAATTTTCAGATTACTAGCTTAGTTATAGTTAAGTTATATCTAAGTTTATACTAGACAAGAAAGTAATCTAAGTTGCTATATTTAGTTTTAATTTTTTTGTATAAATGCACATGTTTATTGTCTATAAAAATATAATTTAGTCTTGTTATCATAATTTGTTTATTTCTAAATTTTTTATAAAATAACAAAAGGTATTTTATTTATTAGTTCTGCTAAGTTTGTGAAATCAAGCATTAATTGCTTTAATTTTTTACTTAAAGGATTACTGCTAATAAAAGTTTAACTAATTTAATTAATTTTAAGATCTATGTTTATATTGAAATCTTTTGTGATTATATTACTATGTTGTATTTAATGTGTAGTTTCTATTTATCAAAGAATGTTAATTTGTTTAATATATTAGAAAATGCATATATATTAGTTATATAGAACTGTATATGATTGAATATAAAGTTAGTATATAGTACTTATTTTTTTATAAGTTTCTGTACTTTTCTAATTTAATTTTGCTAATTTTACTTAATATTGTAGTTATTTAGTTTAGTATAAATCAAATAATCATTGTTTCTTTAAATAATTTTAAAATTTCTTATTTTGAGTATTTGTCTCATAAATTAAAATAATGTTTAGATTGTAACTTTAAAGTAATATAAATATAATTTTATTTTTATTTTTATTGTTCAACTCTTGATATTTAGAATTGTAATATTGATAACTTTTTTATTTATTTTTTAAGTTTAGTTTTTTGTAAAAATTAACTCTAATTAATCTCTGTTTTGTTTTTCTTGTCTTTTTTATTATTATTATAATAAAACTGTTATTATTTATGTATTGCTCATTTAGTACTGTATTTTTTTTTAAAATAAAATATTTATTAACTAATTTGATCAGTTTATACTTTATATTTGCCTCTGTAGTTCCTAATAATTTAGTATTTACATGGTTCAAAACTCTTGTTGATAGTTTTTTGTATTTGTGCACTCTGTTTTATCTTGAATTATTTTTTTCAAGGATTTATTAATAATGTTTTATCTATAAAGATGTTAACTTTATTTATAATATTAAACTCTTCAACTCTAGTTATCTATATCTTATATAAAATAAAAAGGTTCTATTAACTTCTGTTTTGTTTTATTTTCTTTAAATTCTTTATAATTTTGTTTAAGTTTGATAACAGTGATGAATTTATTGTAATCTTTTTTATATAGTCCTTTTTATAATAAAAATAGTAGATCTTAGAGACTAATTTCTATTTTATTATTACTTTTCTGTTCAAAATATAGATATATTTAGAAATTTTGTACTCTATATTGTTGTTATTAGTTATTTCAAAAATAATAATCTATTGGTTAGATAGAAACATAATTCCTTTATATAGTAAAGATCTAATAGATATAACAGATTCTATGTTCTAAAAGACTCCTTAATCTCATCAAAGATAATCTCTTTCTTTGCAATAAAAATGTTATATAATTTGATTAATAAAAAAGATTTGTTTGATCTAGTAGAGAAATAACTGTAGTAGATTTGGTTAAAGAATAAGATCTCCTCTGTAACATACTTTTTCACTGTTAGTATATCATTAAAAATATTCTCAAAACTTGAATATTTCTTATTTATAAAATATAGCTTTACATTTACTATATCATTTCCTATATTATTATATAAAACAGTTATAATTTGAGAAACTTTTTTTATAACCTGAATGTCAAAGATGAGAGCATTATCATTCTTAGTCTTTAGACTTAACCTGGATGTAAATGCAAAATAAGTAACCTATTCTTTTAATAGCTTGGTAAAAAGACTGAACCATTATTTTAGTTTAAAGCTTATTATAGTTTCTTTTAATGTTGGTTTAGTGTTGGTGTTTTCATTAGTATATGCATGTTAAAAATTACCTTATTTTTGATATGATGTTCCAGAACTTTTTGTCCAAAAGGCTGTTAGGTTTATTTCTGTTACATATTCTTTTGCAATATGATTTCTTTGTGAGTTCAAGCCTTCTCTTGTATATTCTAGTTCTAAGTTATCAGATCAGTTTATAATAAAAGCAGCAAATGTAGTTGTTAAAGGTTTTTTTTTGTTACTAACATGCTTAATTCCTCAAAGTTTATGAACATTCTATTCACACTTAGTAGTTTTGAGGTTTTCCTGGTTTTACTATTTTCAATTATAATTTGTACTAACTTACATCTTTGAGTTGCAAGGGCACAAGCTCTTGTTTAATTGACTTTGATGTTTAAGAACTAACTATTTGGATTTATGTTTTTTCAACCAGACACCTGATACCAGATTGTGGTAGAGTAACTGTTACATTCAAAGTTATTAATTCATTATTATATGACAAAAAAAAATTTTTTTTGTTTCTTTATTATTTTTGTTTACATTAATAAGTTGTAAATAGAAATAGTCTATAACTAAAGAACATACTAATTATAGTATTACATTTTTAAGTAGTATTAAGTTATAGTTTTGTCTATAATGAAAAAATGATATAAAATGTTTGTTGTATACAGCAAGAATCATTTATTGCGCTTTTCAAATTACTGTGATCAGCAAATTTCACTTCACCTGGTGTGCAATATATAAAAAAATCATTTTACAATACCAGATCATTCCGCTAGTACATGGTATAATTATAATAAAATGGTGTGGGATTATGTACTAATGGAATGATCTGGTATTGTAAAATAAATTTTTTATATGTTTGCACGCCGGGTGAATGTTGTAATCAGAAATCTAAAATAAATGGAAATCTGTGATTGGTTGGAAATAATTTTTAGCCAATCATGTATTTGTATTTATTTTAAATTCCCATGCGTGGAACTTTCTGATCACAGTTAGAGATGGTTTCATGCGTGCGCATAATTCGAAAACATGCGCATGATTCCGTTTCATGCGCATTTTATCACATCAAGATTTCTCTCCTCTCGATCGTTTTTTCTTTTTTTTTGCCTTTTTTTTATCATGCGATATCATGCGCATGAAACATTTCGTGCGCATTAATACGCATTCATGCGCACGTTATTATAAAATGCGCATTTTTCCCATCACTAATCACAGTAATTTGAAAAGCGTAATAATTACCAATGTCTCGGTTTCTCTATTATCTTACGTTAATAGGTTAGCTCTATAGTCAACCCTGCCTGCCCAAAAATTCGAATAAGTACTTAGAAATGACAAGGTGATTAACAATTAAGCGGATTTTAATAGTTAAAAAAATTAATTGTATCTTCTAGTTCAACTTCATAATTGTGGCGTTAAGTATTTTGAGAAATGATTCAATATGAGAAAAAAAATGTGTTGTTCGCCTCGAGCAATAACGAAACAAAAACTCTGCAATTGCGTAGCAAGGCTTCATTTCGTGTTACTGACACAAATCACCACATTTCTATAAAAAATAAAATTGGGACTCTGACTAAAGTAGCACAATGATCACTTGATCATTTAAAACAAAGTTTAGTTAAACAAGGTTTGTTTCACAGCTAAGAGCTTAAAATTTATGATAAATAAAATATTAGATGCGATTTATGACAATTTTTTACAAAAAATTAGTACCAATCGGCTTTCAACTTCCGTATTACCTATTTTGTAGAAATTAACATTATATGTATAATAATAAGCACGTAGCTACGCACGTACGTATGTACTTATCTTGACCTTCTTTCTCAAATCATTATTAAGTTTATTGTAGCAACTAAAAGATGACAAAAGTTGTAAATATTCTGATCTTGGAGGATATTTTATCCTTAATTTTACGCAACATTCAAGATCAGTATTTTAAATTTATTTATTTGTTTGTTAACAGAACTTGGGCGAGGGTACGTATCAATTCTTACAAACCTTAGATATATGTATTATTTCAATGCTTATTTTCGTGATCAATCTTTATCCTCCCAATAGATTCTTGTTAGATTACTTTGGGAAGCGCCAGTATGGAAGTCATTAAATTCTTTCAATAAATTTTTTAACACACTTAAGAAACAAAAGCCCTTATTCAACTATTTACAAATGATTCGTAATATTTCATGTAGCAAATTTCTAAAGCATCAATATCTAACAATATTGATACCAAAAACTAAATCATTAAGAATAACTCATTTGACTATACACAGTAGCATACAATCTCCAACTGTTTTAAAATTATTAAACCGCAGTCCACGCCTAATATCTTTTAAAGTATCTTTTACAAGTGGCTCATGCCGATCTGGTGCAAAATGGATGCGTAACGCCTTAGGCCCTATTATTCAAGGGAAACGTAAAAACCTCAAAGAATTGGGATTTTATCTAACCTATAATATAAAATCTATTGAAGAAATTTTTTCTCTTATTATTATAATTGGTAATCAATGTCCTAACATTGATTCATTAATAATTAATGGTATTACAATCGCAAACAAATATTTTAAAAAAATTGCTTGTTCATTTAAAAATCTTATTAAATTGCATTTGCATACAATTGATCACAAAAATATGCTCACAATATTAAGTACATTTCCTAAACTTAAATCATTATCAGAGACTATTTCATCTCATAATTACCATCATCCCAATAATCTTAACAATTATCAAAATTACTATCGTCACAATAATCGTAGCAACTATCAAAATTACTATTATTCTGTTTCCCATAGACCTAATATTACGAATTCATTTCATGATGATATGAAATCTATCATTTCAATTAATCAACTTCCGATTATAGAATCTCTTCGTATTCAAATTCAACAACCTTTTGTTAGTTACTTTATTCCAACACAAACTCATTTAAAACATTTAGAATTATCAAAGTGCATTGATTTAACTGATAATGATATTGCAATAATCATTGAATGGTGCAAAAAATTAGATTCAATAATATTGAGACAATGTCCGAAATTTACCGATAGATCTATAATTACTATTGCAAAAAATATTCCAAATCTTAACCATCTTAGATTAATGGAGTTTCCTCATATTAGTCACAGTAGCATAATTGCGATTTCGGATAACTGTAGAAGTTTAAAAACTTTTGAACTATCAATAACAACAGCTGCTATAGTCCGTTTTGATGAACTATCAATAAAACCAATTATTAAAGCCCCTTTTAATTCATCATTCATTAGGTTATTACAAAATTGTGACAAACTTATTGAATTATCATTAGAATTACCTGGAAGCTTTGGTAATCAAATTTTAAATAGCTTGGGAATTAAGGGACATAAATCGTTAAAAATTTTAAAATATTCTCGAATTCCTAATGAGTATTGTGATGAATTGCTTGATAGCAAATTTATAAATATGCTCTCTAATGGGTGCGAAAATTTAAGAGTTTTCAATCTAAAAGTGGAACTTAGTAAAACGAATCTAGATGTAAGTAATTGAATTTATTATTAATTTGATACTTTTGTTACATTATAAATTCATTGATATATATTTATATATTATGTATATAATGTATATATAGGACTTGTTAAAATCTTTTAGAAAATTTAAATATCTTCAAGAACTTTGTTTTTATCCAAATCAAGAACAGACATTCACGGATTATCAGATCATATCTTTTATAAGACATTCAAAAATATTTTACCCAAGTTTGGAAAAATTAATCCTTCCTAGCTCCTCTTTAAAAATTAATAAGCAATTATTACGTAGTTTAAATCCTGGATTAAACCTTAAATTTTTTTGGTGATATAGAGATTTAACTAGAAAACTCAAGCCATTTAAGTTTACCCAAATTTTAATATTTAGAATTTTTTTTTTCCCGTTATTGTAAAGAGATAATTTATAGGAATAAGGTTGGTATTAAGTCCATAGCACCCTAACTATATATAAAAATGTAATAATTTAAATAGCAATAAAAAAAAATTTAGTATCTGTAACTACAAATGATTGTTTTTGCTTTTAATAATGTCCAAAGAAATGTTTTTTACCATCTTTAACTTCTTACTAATCAACAACGTAACTACTAATTAGCAACAAAGTCATTTGATAAGTAGTCATAATTTTTGCTTCTGAATTATAATTTTATTTAAAAAACCTTTACATTACTATGTATCCATAGAGCCTTTGCCTATGATTTTACTTCTCAAATTTCTTACACTGTAATATTATAACAGTATAATTCTATTTACATACCTGCTTTATAGAAACTGACCTTTTATTAATATCTATATATTTTAAACCTCAAGATGGTAATTGTTTGAGGATGTCATGTGGCTCGATTATAAGTACTTCGTTAATGATTCTTAGTATTGTTTGTTACGGGTAAAAAGCAATATATGTATATACGAAAGGAGTAAGAATAATACAAGAATAAAAATTTATGGCAGTAATATTAGTCACAAATAATTTACAAGATTAGAGGGATCCATTTACAACGTTTAAAATAAAAGTTCTTTTATACAGTATATTTTGACTAGCAGGAGGCATAATAGGCTTTTATTATATATTTTTACTTCCTTCACAGTTAAAGCCTTTACGTTTGATTTATTCTTTAAAAAAGTGACTTTTATGAATATAATTGTTTCTAAGTTTCTATGACTCATTAGTTAAGCAATTAGCTACACGATACGAAAGTATCGTAATATCGGATCGAACACGGAGTGTAAATTAGTTATTCGAATCCCTTTAGTATAACCACCCAAATCATTTATATAACCGTATAATGTATCAGTAGGGATAGATCGGTCCGTCCTGGTCGGTCACAGCCCCATTTGGACTGGTCAGTCCATCTTTCAGTCCTAGAATCGGTCCTATTACTAATAAGTTTTTTAACGCTTGACATAAATTTTTATTAACTGACAAATTTTTAAATATAATTATGTATTTTATATGCAAAGCTAATTTAATATTAATAACTAAATACATAGATATTTATCTATCTAATTTGCAAATTCATACGTGAATTGTATCAGTATGTGAAACATTGTGTAAAAATCCGCTGTTATGCTTAACAAAAGACATAAAAAAGGTTCCAAGTATAACCTTTCATTACGCAAGTGAGAGCTAATAAAAAAACTGTTCAATATGAACAATAGCTTATTGACTGAATTAAAAAAATATATAACAAACTATAATTCTAAACAACCAAAGACTTTATTAATATTTGTCGAAACTACGTTGTAGAGATCGTAAAAAAAAAAAAAAAGAAGAAGCAACCATTTTTTCACCTACTTAAAACAGATGATGATTAGTTAAATCTGGATTTAAATATATTTAAGATAATAATCATCACCTGTTTTTATTATAACTCTGTAATTCATACAAATACCAAATACCAATCAAGCATTTCATTTATTAGGGTTTTAAAATAATTTATCATTCAAATTTAATAAATATGGTCTTCCCAAAAGTGCTGGAAGCTTTTCTACACACTCTCATAAGCAGAAGTTCGTCTGATTGGCTAATAAATTCAATTTAATTTTACATTATTATACAGTTTAGAGTACTTTTAAAAAAGACGAAAACCAACCATAATAAAGTAATAAAAAACTATATAGAAGGTTTCATCAAAGCTTTAGGACTCTATAGTCAAAAACAAGATCTAATTCGTCCGTTTAAAAAATTAGCTTAGTAATAAGTTGATTTTGAGAAGTTATTACTATACTAACTTTTTTAAACGGACGAGAATTAGATCTTATTTTTGGTTATAGAGTCCTACAACTCTAATGAAACCTTATATATATATTTTATTTCATTATGATTAGGTTTTGTTTTTTTTCAAAAAGTACTCTAAACTGTATAAATAATGTAAAATTAAATTGAATTTATTAGCCAATCAAACAAACTTCTGCCTATGATACACACTCATATCTTCGAATAATGTTTAAGGATTAGACTTACTAACACCTAGATATCTGGTAATTACCTGAACTATTAGGCCTTCCGACAGATATGCTTTGAAAATGTTATTAGCAAAGATAAAAATAGTAATATACATTATATAGCTATTTTATATATTGATCTTGGCGAAATCAAATGTAATTTAACAAAGTTATACACATTATTACGTATATCGATCATTAACGAAATCATAAACTTAGCGAGTGGCAAAATAATCATTCAGTCAATTTTTCACCAGATATTCCAAACTTTATGAGAACTGCTGTGAAAAAAACAGCTGCAAAATTCGAATTACCCGGGTTTTTTGACCGTTTCGGAGCACTAATTTAAATAGTTTCTGCGACATGTATAGACTGAGTCCAGTTAATTATAAATTCAAGTCAGAGAAATATCTTAAAACATCAAATCTCAATGCTGCGTATGGAATGATCGCCGAACCAATTAGGAATTTGTATCACTCGAGTTCATTTTACGTTAACGTTAAATGTTACCGTTACATTTTTTATTGTTGTTAAATGCGTACCAACACAGTTTCCTTTTTGTTTACGTTAGGAAGTTATAGGTAAATAACTTATTTTAATGATTTTCTTTTTGGTCTGTCCCTAATTTATGTTACCATTATCGCATTACTTTACTATATGCCCATATTTTAGCCCTTTGAGGTCATAAAGAATTAATATGCGGAATACTAAACATGTCAAATTGGTTTAAAGTTGCTGTTGAACAGAAATACATTACGTCATTTAAGTATGATTCTTTTCAGAATTGGGAAGAAATAGGCAGAGGAGGGTCTGGTACTATATATAGCGCTTATTCAAAAGATATTGAAAAACTATAGCATTAAAAAGTTTATATTGCGATGATAATATTTCGTTGAATGGCTTTATTAAAGAAGTATTTTATATAATATCTTTTATTTTTTTCATTATGTTCTTATTTACGTCTTTATTTGCGTATTTACTGGTTCACTATATCTGATATTACACTATAAGGTCAAAAATATTACTAGAGTTGCACATCATGATAATATAGTACGATTTTTTGGAATCACTCAAGGT